GTTAGTGAAATCGGCCTATAGTTTGATACCATCTTACACGTCACCTGAATTTAGGATTTGGAAAACTTTAGCCATTTTACAACCGTCTGGAATAGAAACAGATAGCAATGATGCCTGAAAAATAATGAAAAGATATTTGGCAGACCATTCAGCGTCTCTTCAAAAATGAGTTTGTGACTTTGTCAGGTCCTTCTGACTTGGAATAGTCAATGTTAAGGAGTATCGAAAAAATTCCTTCATAAGACAAGGGTACATCATCGATCGCTGGAATATCAGAGTATTCATTGAACACTCGTGACAGAACATCATTGCTGGAGAAAACTGTGGAAAAAGAATGATTAAACGTGTTGGCTATGTCAACTTTTTCAATATTGGCTCACCATCATGAACAAAATTTGAAATGTCATTTCTCATACGTTAAATGATGCCGCCAAAATTTCTTGGGAGCAGTCAGCAGAAAACTAGACATTGTGATGTTGTATAATTTGTTTTTACCACTTTTTATGGCAGTTTTTAGGTTTGTGCTCTGAATTCTAATAGTTTCACCTATGCGTTCACTAGGAGTTTTGCGGATGTTTGCTGTATATCTCGAGATTTTTCGCCTTTTGATGGACTACATGTTTCGTAATCCACTGGTTTTTGTTATGCGACATTTTAATTTTGAGTGGAATGTACTGGTCAATGCATTAGTTTATTATTTCCTTTAAATTTCATCCATATATTGTTAACATCATGTGCAGGGTCAAGGCTCAATTGCCTCAAACAGTGATAACAAGATTCCAGTTTGTCTAAAAGGCCCATCTCCATGATGAAAATCTTTGTATGTTGTCACATCGCTATGCGCACTAGGTACCAAACGATAAGGGCAGTAAAACCATCAAGTGATGCCTGGGAATACCCAGTACTGGTACAGAATATCGCTTATACAGATCAAGAACAGATTGGCATTCACCCTGCACTCGTGTGTACCATTTCACTATCCGAGTTCAATCGTGCAAAGAGGTCATATCAATCAAAGTGGAACAAAGAGTGACGTCTTAGTTTACCGGTCTTAACCCCTTCACTTCCGCTATTATGCAGCCTTTTCCCGCGTGGTATTCCGCGCCCCGTTTTCGCTGTACCCGTGCCTTCTGCGGCTCCGAGGAAAAAGTTTAATAACTTCCGCAAAAAAAGACACAGGAGGATAACTTTTGTTTTATTTCAATCCTTAATCACAGGCAAACGGTATTCACTTAAAAAACTTTCGAGTGTGAAATAGCTTAAAGCACACGGGCATGTGAAGGGCGACTTCACATTTTTCGCACTCCCAGCGGCTCTCGCTTCTTTCGCCCTGGACCTTGCAGATGTGGCACCGCCTAGATGGGTTTGGTTTCGTAACGTTGGCTGTGATCTGGCGAGGAAAATGCGCCCATTCGTATCCCTCTAGGCACATCGGCGAGGCACTCACTGATGGCTTTCCCCGTCGCTTGTAACCGGGCAACACCGTCTCCTCCACGATCTGCTCGGCAAGGTCGACTTTCCAGTCCGTGCAGCCAGACTTCTTGCCTGTGGTCTTTCCAAAAAGTATATAGCTGTTGTAGACAGCTATATCCATGACGTAGAAGCAGGGCCGTACCCAAAAAAAAATTTCGGGGGGGGGTTTTCGTGGACAACGGTGGCCATTTTGAAAGTGTCTATTGTGTTATTTTCGCCTACGAATCATGTTCATCGGTGGCATATAATGGAGAGTTGCAGCAAACCGGAGAACCGGTCCCGGTTTGGTATCCGGTAGCCGACCGGCGCCACTGCGCGTGCGCAGAGGTGGAGATTAAAATCGGCTGGCTGCAAGTGCACCGACCAGGGCTGTACCCAGAAAAAAATTTCGGGGGGGGTCAGAACCCCCTAACCCCCCCCCCTGGTTACGGCCCTGCGTAGAAGAAGATCTTTTTGTACCCCTTGGCATATCTCCGCATAATGGGAAACGAAGCCAGCTGCTGATCCTCACGGTCGACGCCTCCCATACCTCTGTTGTAATCAAGCACAACCTGGGGTTTGAGGATTGGCTGGTTGTGTTTTCTCTGTTTTCCTGTGTCTGTCAGGTTTGTTGTGTCATGGGAGGTCGAAAGCAAGGTTACGGGCTTCTTGTCCTGCCATGTCACAGCCATCAGTCCACGGGAAAAGAGGCTGCGACAGTCACCCTTTTGAAGGTTGATTTTTTTCAGATCCTGCGGCATGTTCTTTCGATGCACCCGAACTGTCTTGACAGCGTTAGACCCCGCTTCCTTGATGTGAAGAAAGAGTAACTTGGACGAGTACCAGTTGTCTGTATGGATGGTGTAGTGTCTAGTTTCAGTTTGTGTTTGAACTCCTCAACTCCAAGCAGCCGAAGGAACATTGACTATCGAGAGGCATGCTTGGACAGGCCTCCCGCGGTGTATGCGGAGCATCGCAATGTAACCTCCAACAATCCTATGTAATCTCAGTATTAAACGGTGTTAAACCACTACAGATGGTGTGACCATTTCCAAGACGGTGTCCCGCAAGGTCGATTACAACAGCCTCGCTGCATAACATTCCAGCTGTTGCCGGGGTCCTCTCACTTTTGCCTGTGTAAATAGAAAAGTTCAGGCAGTATCCGCTTGACGACTCGCACAGCTTGTAATATTTGATTCCAAAGTGTGCGCAATTCGACGGATTGAATTGAATGTAGGACAGACGACCACGAAACTTCATGAGGCTCTCGTCTACCGCCAGTCCCTCTCCTAGAGAATACGACTCGCCAAACACCTTCAAAACATAGTCGAGGACTGAACGCAGCTTTTGAAGTTTGTCGTCATCAACTGGCAGGCTGTTGCCGCACAGGTGAAGGTATCGTGTGAGCGCCCAAAACCACTGACTGGGCATCATGGACGCGAAGAAGGGCGTGCTAATGACGCTTCTCTGAAACCAGTAGGCTTGAATCCTCCTTTTTTTCACTTGGCTCATGAGAATACAAAGGGCAAAGTACGCCTTCATCTCACCTGGAGTCGTGGGAAACCACAAAGGGTCCGGAGAGGAGGCCTGCTTCTCAAGTGCGTACGCATTCGTGTGACGTGCAAGCATCTGCCAAAAGTCCTTGCCTATCAAAGCATTGAACATTGAGAGGGCTGTAGGACTGTCCCCTACAGCTATCTGAATGGTTCTCTTTACACCTGCTGTTCCGGCGAAAGGGATCTTCGCGACTTTGTCGGCACTGTCGTCGTCCTCCCATTGCCAGACGTCGAGCCTTCGAGCTTTCGATCGTGGTGGCGCGACGGGCACCGAAGAATCAAGTGGTTCTTCTGAGTCCGAAGCCTCAGCATTGTTGTCACTGTCCGAATCACTGCTTTTGATGTCCATGGTAATTTCCGGGTCGTCGCAGTCGTCATCCTCATCACTTTCAAACACCAAATCAAGAATTTCCTCGCTGGTGAGACACCTCCTCTTCCGCGACGCAATGTTTTCATACAAAGAAAAAGAACCGCAAACTTCTTCCTTTTCACTTCTAAATATCATAAAATAATCACGTATGTGGTACCATCTGCTGTCAAAAGTACTAATCAAAACACCTACCGCCTGTAAAGTGTTGCCATTTATCAATATATTTTGGAAACAAATTATTTTGCGGAGGACGGCGATTCGCCGTCTTATTGCACTTTGGCCCTTTCTCCCTCGGACGGTGGATCGCCATCTTCGGAAGCGAATGGGTTAAGCATCCCAATCGATGCTTGGAACATTAAAATACTTGGAGATTATAACATTACGGGTGCTGACACGGATTTTAACTAAAAACTTTCAACTTTTCTAAAATGTCGAAACTGAAGTTAGGTGGTCGATAGATGGTACGTATCATTATTTTGATATTAGACAATTTTAGTGTGCACCAAATACTTTCTATTTGCTTTGAGTCTTCGATTGTGGTGCAATCAAGATCATGCCTAGCAATTATGGCAACGCTTTTGATACCCCAATCCTTCCTAAATATTTTATATCCTGCAGGAACTATTTCGCCATTCACCACGAAATCATGCAACCATATCTCTACAATAACCATGATATCGGGGTCATGCTCAATTAAAATGTGTTCAAGTTCCTCAACTTTGTTAATGATACTTCTTGCACGTAAATTAATAATAACAATATTTCGTATGTATTTTGTGGCACTTTGTCATACCATTTCGCAACTTAGTGCCCCGAAATTATCTTTCTGGTATAAGTCTTACTTTATCATTTATGCTATCATCCCAGGCGTATGTAGCTCCATTTATTTTTATCTTATCAAATGCGAGGAAACACTTTTCACCATTTGCTCGGTTTGCGCTGCCATTTTCCCACAGCCTAATGTCTCTGACCTGTCCTGAATAGTCCTCATTTACGGGAATGTGTGTTCCTTGTATTTTTTTTGTGTTACGAAGGATTGCAGTATTGTTGCCTGAGCTACCAAGTTATAGAAAAACAGGTTGTATTTTATCGGATAACAGGCTGCCTAGCCTCTTGATCTGCTGTACACTGCTGACATAAATCCCTAATTTTCCACTGACTACCTGTTCAATAACTTGTGTAGTTAAGAAAGCCTGTGTTTCGCTCAAGGTTTCTTCAAAACTATATAAGGTTTTTACACTTTTCTTGGTTGGCCTTCAAAAACGCATCCAGTGACGAAATTTGATTTCGGGCTTTCTGCACTTCACCTGACAGACGCTTTAAATTCGCCACCGAAGACTCGCCACCGAAGACTGTATGGATTCTAGTCGTTGACCAAAACTGTTTTGGTTTATCATGATCTCAGCAACATCCCAGGCAATCTGTTTCTTACTTTCGAGCAGCTGTTGCATAATAATAGTGTCAGGCCCAGGATTGTGCTCGACACTGCCACTAAGATGTAACAATATTGCAATCACACTCCAACACTCGGAGATTATGTTACACAAGCTGCGTAGGCTCGGCAGCATTATCAAGGTCCTGCAATCGTGTTTAAAACACTTGTAGAAGTATTTTCTACTAACCTGTACGTAGAACAGGAAGCAATATGACATCCCTGCTTCGATTGTGCCGCCGAGCCTACTAAAGCCGCAGCGTTTCCAGGGGCAGTTTGGAGAGCAGCCACGCCTCTGTCGCAGTAGCTGATCCTTGGTTTTCCGGCGCATACTTTCTTGTTCTGTTGTCGTCAATGACGGGAAACCCACTTTGCAGGTGCCAGGATTGCGTTTGATTATCAGGGACGTACTGCAGGTTGACAGCACATGACGCCGCAGCTACTGGTCTTGCATTCCCGCAGTCGACTTTGCTGGTGTAGAAAGACTGCCACAGCAGTATCTGTACATAGAACAGTAGGCGATTAGACATCCCTGCTTCGATCGTGCCGCCAATTGCCCACTCTAGGTGGAGGCACGATACCATGTTTTACTTTATGAACCTAGTTAGTTATTATACGAACCTAATTCCTATATTCAAGGACAAAACATGACTGAAAGTTGACACAGAGTGCTCCTTCAGTACGACAATGCGCCTGACCTCATGTCTTGCATTACAATGGTCCCCTAAATAAAGCTTTTGGGAATGATATCAACCCTATTTATTGTATCTGGCACCCCGTGACTACAGGCTGTTAAATTAAAAAAATGACACACCTGCATGGTAGATTTCTCATCTGTATATGGTTTAGGTAATAGAGGTTAGGTGGAGAGGTTCGACAAACTTTTTTCCAGGAAGCAGCATAAATTCTATATGGCGAGCAACTGTTCTAAAATGTGTCTGATGCACATGAATGCAAAGAGGGGCCATATAAAGTGGACCATAGAGAATGCATAAAAAAGAGTGATGACGACCCAGCCAAGCTGGCCCCATCATTGGCTGCGGTTGCACGTACGAATGCACGAGGTCTGCAAGGAGCAGACCAAGGGGGTTATATTAAGACTTCTGGAGTGGAGGTACTTGGGAAAAAAAATGGGTAGACGCTGTGTGAGGCATGGGAATTTTGCCTTCAATTAGTTTTATCTGCGGCGTTTCATTCAAGGCAAGTCTTTATGAAACAACTGCAGCCGTTCCCAAAGGCGATATTTGGCTTTTGTGGCGCTTTTGGTTGCGTAAATAGCCTTAAAAAGCCAGGAATTACTTTTCATCTGTAAGATACGCAGCAAGCACACGGCAACAAATCTCGCAGTATCTAAGCTGGCTTACGCGAGAGGAAGCTGGCCGATTATGTGCCTTTGCATTGCAACCGCAAAATAGAGACTTAAATATGTTTGCATGTTGCAGGTTTCCCCGAAGACAACACTCAGCATGCTGTGTGAGAGCAGCTGGGCGTGGTGGTGGGGGGGGGGGGGGGGGGGGGGGTTGGCTCTGTGTTTCATGTACTAGGAAAATGACTGCTTTAAAAGAGGCGGTGAAATGAGAAGATTTCAATCGGGTAGCATTCCAATTGCGTTTCCTGTATTTCCAGCATAGCTGCGGAAGGCACTGAGTATTGTAGCAACAGTGAACACTTATTTTCTATTACAGTTTTATCTAAAACTCTAAATGGTTCTTTTATAAGAGCTGTGCATCAGGAAAAGAAGTACTACAAACAACTTTATTTTTCCGAACTTGATGTTTTCCCACTTTCTAAAAGTGCCTTTTTCGGTGAAAGTTCACGTGCAGGAATTTTCTTGATCGTGAGAGGTATGCTGTGTAATCATTACCATGGGGTGGATTATTTGCGGAACCAATTCGTGCAACTCATCATTGTGAGAATAAAGGAACATTTTACATTAATTTGTGCTATGGTGTGTTCCACAGAATAAAGTAATTTCTGTTGTGTTGTGTTGCATTGCGTTTGCGTTTGCTGTTGCTGTTGTTGTTGTTGTTGTTGCTGTTGCTGTTGCTGTTGTTGTTTTAAATGCCATGAGCGGCATTATGCAGCAGACGACGCGGCAGAGTGTCCCGGAGGCAACAGATCCTAGCCGGAGTAATTTTGTACGCATTTTTATGGAGATGTACTTCCGTGTAATACGACAAATTACCACCCTTTCATAGGATAGTTCCCTAGGCCGTGCGCCGCCAGCACTACGGCTGGCCCCTTAGCTACGATGACGCCGTTGCTATAGAGCCACATGACACGTAGCAGCTAATGGCGATTTAGGTGCCATTTTCCGCTACTACATACAACGCCGGCTTCCTTGCATTGGACCCATTTAATACTTTCGCATTAAAAAATCGTACGAACCGTCAGGTCGAAAATCATCTTGAATTGCGGCATTCTCGATCCCAAAATTATTTTACAATATAATTGTTACCTTTCTTTTAACATGAATGTGGGAATTAGGTGAAGGTTCTGTAGGTTGACAATACTTTCCATTTATAATGCAGCGAACTTCTCATTTCGATATATTGCACGCCTTCGAACTAATGTCCCAGGAACCTCGAAATTCATTTCATATGTACCGAAATATCTCCGAGAGGTCATTATCCTCTAGTGCAGGGGTCCCAGGGCCCGCGGGGCAGTTTTATCCGGCCCCGGGCACGACCCCAGAAAAGCCCCCCTCCCTTTGCAGCTTACTCACAGACCCAAGCAGCACTCGGAAAAGCAAGAACCACAAAAGGCAGGAAAATGGAACGCTACCACGTAGCATTGTCCGGCATCCCCATACTGGGGCAGAGAACGCCTTCTTTTTTGCCTTTTGTTTTGTCTCCCGTCTTTCCGACTTGCCGTCCGGCCCCCTCCGTGTCAACTTCGTGACGACTCGGCCCGCCGCTGCCAAAGGTTGCCGACCACTGCTCTAGTGTATCTCGCTACCATTTTTTTACGGTTACTTCAAGTCGCAAGATGTCACATATGAATGAAATTGGCTTCTTTTATGTGTTTATCTGAAGTAGAGAACTTTTTTCTTGCCCAAGTAAATGGGGCTGGCAGAGTAATGTGCATATAGAAAGCCTGTACTCACAGCTCTTTTAACATTTTCATTTTACAAAAATGTTCCTCCAACTGAAGCACACTGGAAGACATTTTGACCGGAAAAATTTTGATGTACAGCCATAGACAACTGAACATGGGGTCATTAAAATGAACAGGATCTATAGTCCGGACTATAGTCCGGAAAATACGGTAATATAGTCGTCATAGTAAAGAAAGACACTTCCCCAGAGGCGTAAGGCGTGAGAAACCTTAGAACATCGTCCACAATTGTTTGATTGCTATTCCATCGTCCGAATACAGAGATGCAGTACATCGGCAAGCCAATGTCTCTGATCTCATTTGGCTTTAACTAGTGTTTTTTTTTTTTTTGTTTTTTTGCTGATTTGCATTTTGTGAAATTTCGAACCAGTTGTTGCAAGCCGGCCGCTTCTCTGCCGGTTTGCCAGAACAGCTTAGACTCTGTCAAAGAAAGCACTGTAAATGGTAGGGCCCGCGAGCGTCTTGAGACGCGGGAAGAGTCCCTCTTAGCTCATCCGCTGGCTTTGACAGTGCTTTCTTTCCCCCAGTCTCAGCTGAGACGCTGTTCCTAGCAAGTCGCCCCCAGGCGGCCCCAAGGGACATGGCGCTGCCTGAGACATCTGCTGCGCCTGTAACCTCGGCCTTAGCAAACCGTGTCCCTCTACGTGAGCGCACCGCATATCAGCTAAGGTTGCCGAAGGACGACAATTATGCTTTGGATTCACAACTCATAAAAAATGCTTAAAACATTAAAAACACTTTTTTTTTTTCAAGAAATTGTAGATGACGATTCCAAGGCTGCTCCTCTATCAAGCGACGAACCGTGGTAAGTGAGGTTAATTTTTTTCGTTTATTTTTGTTTATTTCTCCATGATAAATGAGTAACAAAAGCTTTAACTGTGCAAGTTTTCTCTGAACAGTTAAGGGTTCAAGTCCACAAATATTTAATATTTCTGTCAGAGAGGACGTTCATCTGTAACTGGAAGTTATAAAAATCACTGCCTTATTCCGTATTTTCTGTAACCTGCTTATGTCGGTTTTGGTTGCGGGGTCGTACTAGACTTTTGTATGTTGTAGGTCTTTATGTTCTTGCTACTTTTAAGTTTACGTTTGAGTAAGGATAATTTGCAAAATGCAGCTGCGCAGATATTTAGAATATGTCTTTTTGCCATGTAAAATTGTGACTTATTGTCACCCCTATGTAGTTGAAATTTTCTGTTCTTGACAGTTGTACATTTGCAATGTGATAGTGAAACAGAGATACATCCCTCTCATTAGTTATGTTGGTATATGATGACCTTTTTAAGTTAATTTCCATTTGCCATTGGAAGCACCATTGCTTAATATAGTCGAAACTGTCATTTAATGCTGCCTAGTCTTCGGATGTCTTAATTGGCAAATAAACCAAACAATCATCCCCAAACAAATTTATTTGTACTGGTGGTTTAATTACCATTGAGATATCATTGATATATAAAATAAACAGCAATGGTTGCAATACTGCTGCTTGTGGCACCCCTGAAGTTAGCTATATTAAGTCTGAAAGTGCTCCTTGAACTTCAACCGCCAGCGATCCATTTCCCGAACAAGCCTCAATTCAACTTATAATATTTTAGTTTAGTGCAAACATCTTAAGTTTTGTTAGTAAATTGTTATGCGTAGCACGATGAAATGCTTTTGCAAAATCTATGCTCATGACATAAATTTGTAGTCTCGAATTCATTGCAGAAGTAACATCGTGAAAATGTTTTACAAGTTCTGTCCTTGTTGACAAACCTGCCCTGAAGCCTTTTTTTTTTTTTTTTTTTTAAATAAAGGAAAGCATTGTTTTTCAGGAATTTAATTTTATGTTTTGCAACTACATGCTCCATCACTTTGCAGCATGTCCTAATGGCACTGGACGTTAATTATTTATTTGTAGACGACAACATTTTTTAAATATTGGCACCATTTTAGCCCTTAACGAATCAGGAGGAAGAATACTTGTTTCTAGAGACTTCTTCAAAAAAAATATTCCAGGTAGAATCACAACCATTCAGCGTATCTTCCAATAAATTCTCCGGGGATGTTATGTGGTCGTTGAGCCTTTTTTGCATCAAGATGCAATATCGATCAAAAATTCCATCCTGCGTTATTACTAGCTGAGCCATCTGAGGTAGCCTTGTGCTGGTAGAAATTGAAACCCTTTTTTTCTTTTTTTGTCTTTCTTCGTAATAACCGATTGAAAAAGTACATAAAACCTGTTTGCAATATCCTTACATTCCGTGACTACTCAATTATCTACAATGATCTGTTCAATTTGCTCCTTTTTATTGCTGACGTACCTCTAGAATCTTGCTCGTGAACTCCTCAGAATGTCATGTAGAGTGACCACAAAGAACCTTTCTTTCTCTTATTTTAGTAATGGTCTCGTTATTCTGGTAATCTCTTAAATAACTTCCTTTTCTTTTTTTTTCTTTTTTTTTTGTGCTTTCCACATTTACCTTATCTTAGGCTTGTAGTGATTGATTTTTACAAGTAATCCGTGGATTATCCTTTGCTATTTGCTTTACACATGTACGGAATATAGGTTTCAATACAGTATGATACCAAATTCCTCAAGTAAAGTCACATGTCCACCCTGTGGGTATATGAAAGATTTGTAAAATCATCCCATCGCATCTTGAGGTGTTCAAGAATAGCAACCTCACTTTCCCTGTGAAAATCTTTTATTAAAGATTTTCTAGCAACTGTTCTTTCCTGCGATGTAACATAATATTTAGTGGAACCATTTGATCAACTGATATGTCTTGATTTACAGTGGTGGAATAATTGTTTATGTTATCTGACAGAAATACCAAATGAATGAATGTTTCGCTGAGTCAGTAATTCTCGTGCAATCCAGAACTACTTGTTTGGTACCATAATTAAATGCGATATCAAGCAATATTTCGCAGCTTGCAACTTCTAAAGACCCAACTGAGAGCCGCAACCCACCGCAGTCATACCAGGGGACGGTTAAAGTCCCCTGGTATGATTAGTCGAGTATTGCTCTTTATATGTTTCCCTAACTAATTACAAGTTATCAAGATCCTCGAAAAACGTGGATGGAGCGTTTGGCACACTATTCGCGACTCCAGCGACCTATAGTTGGCGCTACCACCAAACAAACATGGCGGCTGAGTCCAGGTCGCGTCGGCTCGGCCGGGCTGCCTGAACGGGTGGCGCATTCAATTTAACAGATTTTCTTTTGTTTAATGCCCAATTTTATAGGTATCTGAACTGAGACGGTTGAGTCTAGCCGGTGCACATAAACTTGCAGAGCATAGTTTTGTTTTCCTGATATTTTTGTTCTGCTCATGTGAAACTTTCGTTTCGGAGATTTCGTTCAAAACCAAAACTATGGGCTCCGAAGAGTCGGTAATAGACTGTAATCAGTTTTGATCACCTAAGGAAAGCGGCGATGACTACAGAATTGTTCCACCGAGAGCAAGCCTCAGCTAAATCGCATGCCTCGACCATGCGACTTATCTGTCCACGAAATCAAGCTTTTGTGATATCCACATTTAGAAAACAGCTCCAGTCGTCTGCTCGGTCAACAACACAGGCTGCAGGAAAATTACGAAAATTAAGAAAGTGCTTTTTGAGCCAAGGAGCATTTTAACCCGCTAGTGCCCAACTAAGCAGCTGATACTCGTATTTCAATTGTGGTTTACTAGCAATCGATAAGTCATTTTGACGAGCGGGTTATGCATTATATTACATACTATGGTCCCACTAAAGCGATATTAGTATACACTTCGGGTTGAACTATGAGTTTAGTTGACTAGCTTTTAGGTGAACTGCTGAATAAAAGTATAACTGACAGACAGAGCGATACTACTTAAACTCAGCCAAATGGTTCTAGCCGGCAGCACGGAGGCGAATGCGGACAGACTGAAGAGAGCCTTCGTTGAAGATTTACGCAGAACCTCTCTGCATTGAACTCGACTTCGGATCCTGAACGGAGAAAATGAGTATTTTCTGTGGCCGGCCAACCTGTGCAATGTAGACGTATATTGTTGATGGCTTCGACGGGGGTATAATACAAATATTGCAGGCGCGATAGATCATAATGCCGTGACAGCTTCTAACTTTGCGAGACGCATCCCCCACCTTTTGAAAGCATGTAGATAATTTCCCTCATTAATCATGCAGCGAGCAGGTTTTCCGAAATGAAGTAATTGCGAAATCAGCCCATCTCCTTAAGTGTGGTCCAGAGGCTTTTTCGGCGAAAAGCAGCCAAGACGAATAGCAAACGCACCGACCGGCGCGGTTGGCTCAAACTTGAAGCTAATGGAACACAACCAAACTCAAGAAAACCAGCTATCGAACCTTCCTATTCACTTGACTGTAACATCGGTGTTCCTTCCAGTGAAACACCTAGTCTGTCGTCCTCACTCGACTGTTCTACAGTCTTGTTAAAAAAAACACTTATCAGTTACCAAGTAGTCGTCACTTTGAATGTGGTTCGAGACAGAGAAGAAATCAAAACGTTTTTCCTCGATTCCTCCCCATCCAAGAAATCGAAAACATGCGACCGTGTGTTGTGGAGTAAACGGGCTTTCAAACACGTGATGGAAGGTAACAATTTACTGAGGCTTCACCACACTAATGAACACTCGGGCAAACTTAAGAAATGTTCGGACCTTCGTCAAATTACATTGCTTGGCACTGCGCCCATAACACGTGTCCGCGAAAGCCACCAGAGACGGCGAGGGGCGCGGAGCGACCTGGTCTGGCTGGTTCCCGGTTTTGCCGCTTGGTGGCGTCCTTTTAGCTGGAGTCTCGAATAGGCAGTTACAAACACAAATTATATATTACAAAAATAAATTTTGCACAACAATGCCTCTTTCAACTCACAGTTCAAGAGCGAACAAGAAGGTGGAATAATATGGTCAATGTTCACCTAAGACGGCCAACAGGTTTTAATTTCGATAAGATAATGCGTCTTGTATAGCATTATCATATCCTCCAAAGATGTTGCTTTGTTTACTGTGCTTCTAACATTAAAAGTGATCATTTTTAACTCACACGGTTTTGTAACTGAATGTGAAAGTAATTACCGGTCTTGTCTCATTTTGTGAGGCACTGGACACCTGCATTGCTTCCAACGTCCCAGTCTAACACTTTGTTGTTGTTTCTTAGCTTGTCGTGGTGAATAAACACAATCTCCATTTTCCCTGTTTTGTTTTTGCACCTTCCCAGTTTTTTCTTCTTCTGACATTTAACATTTATTTTTGCAATGTCACAATCTTACACTCAGCTTACTTCCCTTAAACTTTTTTGCAGTTTTTCAGGATCTTTTGCTTCTCATTATAATCCATGAATTTCATAATTACTCGTCATGTGCCCTGTTTTTTTCTGACCAATCCTGTGTATTTGTTCAATTGCCGTAGCTCTTACTTCCAACTTGTGAGAAAATATTTCCTTCACAACAGTCTCCTTTAGTTTTGAAGAGGTTTCACCATCGTCTTCCCGCAGTCGGAATATTAATATGTTATTTCGTGTACTGTATTTTTCAGTTTCAACCATTCTTCCCTTCTGCTGCTCTACCTTATGTTCTGATTTCCCTTACAGTCTTTCTCACTCAATCTACATTCCCTTTTGATTTCCATAATATCTAGAAACGCTTTTTGTTTAATCTATTTTTTCTTTGTTCATGTCCTGCATGTTACTGTCTAATCGTGTCTGGTTTTCCTTGATGTCTTTGAGATCTCTACTAAACTCTTCGTGCCCGTCAAGTACTTTTTTGCAACAACTCTTGGATAGTTGGTCCCGGATTTGTTTCCACGATTCATGCAAGTAGCAGTTTTAAAACAAGCCAACAATCACTGGTCAACATAGAAATGCACATTATGGGGCACGGCAGCACAATACAGTAAAACCTCGTTATAACAAAATGTGATATAACAAACTAATGGATATAACAAAGCAATCGTTATTCCCCTTGCTTGCTAATAGTGGGAAGAAATGGACATTGGCTATAACAAACTAATGGTTATAACGAAAGAATTACGACCGCTCCTTCAACTTTGTTATAACGAGGTTTTACTGTAATACAATAAGAGCTAGAACGGAACGATTTATATTCATCGTGTGTCACTAACCTGTAGTGAAGACCATTGTAATTTAAGCATCTTGCCGGCGCAATCACCAGCGTGCCCTCTGAGGAGTCTGAAGTCGTCTGTAGATTTTATAGCCCATGGTGCTGAGGTCATCGTCTCCCGCTGCTGTCCGCGATTGCTGGTCATGCTGACTGACTCACTGAAGTTACGGTGATACGGCTGGCCGAGGTCCGATGTATCCCGTCTGTTTGCGGTGGTTGGGGTGAAAGGTCGACGAGAAGAATCTGTTATGAAAATTGTGGCATTTTCAGCATCTTGTGCATGCAGTTTTGATCGTGCTAACTCAACTATTGGGCCCGAATGCTACCTCCGACTGGCTGATTGAGCCCCGCCCGAAACACTGACGCAGCACTCGTGCCCAATAGACGAGTTAAAGAGTAATGCTATACGAACAGCCTTGTGCACCAAGACTGCAAATGAAGCCCATTTTTGCCTGTTTTCGGTTTCTGATGCCATACGGCCCCATGTATTGGAAAACTCCTTCGTCCTCCATTTTCCCATTGGAATGTTAAGAAAATGAAGTAGAAGTTTATAATAACCTATCCGATTGGCCTGAATTTTGGGCATCTGGTTGTTATCTGTAGCACTACGTTTAGCCGGAGACTGAGTGTTAGGTGATGCATAGTGTATTTTTGCTTTAAAAAAAAACTTTTTTTTTTTGTGACAGCTTCTACACTATTCTCAAGTATTGGAAAGGAAAAGTGACGCAATGTTTTACTGGCTAGTGCGGCTTATACGCCAAACTGCTTAGTCGGACTCTTTTTATCGTCATACATCCTTAAGGGCCTTTTAAAAAGTACATTGCATAAGATGGGGGCTGTAGAGAATGTCAAATAAAAATAAAGAATAGAAGCACGAAAAAAAAATGGCACTGGCACGCCCGCGAGTAAACCTTGAAACTATATTGCAGTTGAAAAAAACAAAGAACTTTAGAATTAGTAACAGATAAATAAAACATTACCTCGATTTGAGTCTTATTACACAAAGTAAACCATAGTTTATTTGAAATGTTGAACTGAATGTACTATATAGCTTCTGTCGAGCAGCAGCAACATGGAAGGCCTTGGAGGCGATTGTACCAGTAGACGAGATTTGTCGGCAGCAGCCGACTAAACACGCAACATTCAATTTTTTATTTTTTTATTTGTTTTGATTCGGGGAGACAGATAACAGGGGCAAGTTCGTTACCGAGCTCTTTGCATAAAAGAATGGCTTCCAAATTTATTGTTTTTGTTCACATATTGTTTTATGTACATCTAAAATTTTAGTACAGACATGACATATGTAGAACTATTGCGTTATTTAATATCTAGAAGTTAAATATGGTGAGGTATGAAAACCGTGTGCGGTCTGGTAATTAAGTACACTACCTCGAATACCCTGTGTTTTTGAGGAAAAAACAGCAGTGTTGTATCATCGTAAAAGTGAAGTACGCATAACGAAATGCTCTGTCTCCTCCAAAGTTTCTTCCTAACGGTTAATACCACATGCCAATTAGCTTAAAAGCAATTTTATGCCATTGTCAACGACAGAATGGCTGTGGGAACCTCAGAGAGGCCTCGTTTTTTCTTTCAATATAATTTTTTAAGAGCTTTAGTGTTTTGACGTCTCCACTATGTATGCTATATTGAGGTTACTCCTGAACATTTTTTTTTATTTTTTTTTTATTTATTACATGGAAATTTGTTCGAAATTTAGGTTACATGGTTACAAGGTGAAATGATGATTATGTACACAGCGATGGATATAAGGTGAAAAGTTGAGAGGAATGTCTGTGTAAGCCGCACTCCTATAGCACTATTTCACTCCCAGCACATCATAAACACAAACAAACACAACGTTTTTAAGCAGGCTATAATCTCATTCATTTCCAGATATTAAAAATCTGGAAGTCTCAGACACGCATCAAAAAGGTGAAACCATTCAGGTACTGGTGGGTGAGCTTCGTAAACACCTCTTACTTTCGAAATTTCTTCCAGAAAAATTAATTTTCTGGTGCGTGGTGTGTCGGCGTTCCTATCAATCATCCGGCATCTCCAGAGGCTGTGGAGGCCTATCAGCATAAGTAAATCATAGGGAATGTTTGTCTCACTAGGTATGTGTAAAAAATGAATAGTATGATCGGTAAAGTCGATTTCCTTTTTAAGAGTTTGTTGGAGGACATCCCAGAAGAAAACAGCATCTGTACAGTAGATGAAGCAGTGTTCTATTGTTTCCGGTCGGTGGCATAATCGACAGTCAATTGACCACGGCACAAAAAACCCACGTTCTTGGAGCCACGATTTTACTGGAAGCGTTGATGAGTGTAACTTAAAGAAAAATGTTTTGGCACTTGGAGATATGCACATTCGCTTTACACGTTTTAGAACACCTTGTCCATTACAGTCACTAAATCGTGTCCTATATAGTGGAATGGGAAAGAGACTTTCAATCGAGACCTGTGATAGTCGTTTTCTTGGTACTAGAAATAAATATTATAATGAGCAGCGGACTTTTAGAAACATAAAGGTATTGATTACTTCTTTCCAAAAGCCCCATAGTTTGCCTTGGGTAGAATTCGTTGTTGATATGACCAAAAAGGGCAAGTGATGTGCCAACTTTCTTTGAACAATGGTAAGCAGAAAAGGATGGGATAAATTCCTAAAAACAAAAATTGTCGCGAAACGAGTTGGCGAACGAATAAATGTGCAAGACCTAAGCCGCCAGCTTCCAACGGAAGGAACAAGTTATCGCGTTTCATCCGTTCCCAAGATGAGCTCCAAATAAAGGTCGCTAGATTCTGTGGAAGGCTTGTAGCTTTGAACGGCCACAATGTAATACTTGTAAGACATAGATTAGTTTCGATATTAAAAACATGTTGCACACTGCTGCTTTTCCAAAGATTGAAAGGTCTCGTGCTTCCCATGCTAATGATTTTTGCTTAATCTCAGTTACAACGCAATTCCAATATAGATTATTGGGTCTTGTTTGATCTAAAGGAAGGGACAGCAGTTCCACGACAGCCCAGCCAATTGGCCTGGCATGGTTGCCCACGCGCCTATCCAGAAGCCATGAGATTTTTCAGTGTTCAACCTCGCTCCCGTTAGGTCACAATACTTCTCTGTTATATGAAGGCCTTTTTCTACACTCTTCTTATTCGAATAGAACAGTGCCACGTCATCAGCATATGCCAGTAACTTTACCTCTGTCAAGCAAATAGTATAACCTTGGATATTTTCATTGGTAATAATGCTAAGGCAGAGAGGTTCAAGGTATAAAGCAAAAAGAAGCGGTGATAGTGGGCAACCTTGCATTACTGAACATTTGATAAGAATGGATTCAGAAAGGGAATTGTTTACAACTAGCCTTGTGCTGCTGTCTTTGTAACAGAGCTGAATGCCCTCGAATAGCATGGTTCCTATGTTTGCATGACAAAGTATTTTGAATAAGAAAGAATGGCTTACTCTATCGAATGCCTTCGACAAATCAAGCTGAACTATAGCTACTTGATCTTGCTCATCGGATACAGAGTCAATCACAGATCTTGCTACGTGTACGCTCGTTTGAATGTTTTGCTCTCGTATACCACAAGTTTGGTGTTCTCCGATTAGATTATGTATTATGAGGTGTAAGCGTTCGTTTAAAACTTGGGCGAATATTTTATAGTCCACATTACAAAGTGATATAGGTCGATAAGCTTCAACCTTTTTTAAAGTTATTGTGTCTTCTGTTTTAGGAATTAGTACAGTATGACCGTAATAAAACGTTGGCGGTAGTGTTTGGTATTCGTAAGCGGCTTTTAGGACATCAAGTAGTAAGGGACTCAACAGATCAGAAAATTTCTTGTAGAATTGAGCACTTAGGGCATCAGGTCCAGGTGTCTTATTTGAAGGAAGTGCTTCTATGACATTTTGAATTTCCTGTAAGGTTAGAGGACCCACGACTATTTCTTTTTCCTCGTCTGATAAGGAAGGCAAGAGGTTTACAAGGTGTTCTATATCTGAATTTTCTTCAATTGGAATGCCTTTCCCCAAAAGATTAGTGTAATAATCCACGAAGGCCTCTGAAATGTTTGGTGTATCTATTCTCGTACTGCCTTTATGTTCGTATCCCTCAAGAGCAACGCATATTGTTGAATTTTGCAAGAATCTAATTTAGGGAAGGTCAGTAGTCGAGAACAAAACTACTTACCTCGCCTATCTAAACTTCCCATATTTCTCGCATCATATAGACGCCATAGTGGAAGTATGAAATACCTTTTCTTTCTTCACTTCTTGATTGTTTCGTGCAATGGATTCTCGTTCCTTTTCTTCTTCGTCCTGCCTGGATTGTTCAGCAAAAAAGAACTTTTTCACATG